TTTTGGAGCAAGTTGTTAGAGAACACTGATTGCTGCATAGCAATCTAAATGTTATAAAAATGTTTCTAAATACAATTTGCAATAGATATTTGACAATTCTTTATTTCACATTTTCAATGTCTTATTAAAATATACATGACAATTACCATCATAATAAATCATTTTCTACACGATAAATTATATGTCTTAAAATTTTTAAAGAAGATGAAATCCTCCCAGGACTTAAAAACGAACTGTTTCCTTTCAAGGAAGCATAAGCACCAAATTGCTTAAGCCTGTAAAGGAAAAATAGTCTATGCTACTGTTTAAATCCTTGATGAATGTCATTCCTGGAGATTATAAGATTATTCCAGCATGGCTTCCCTTTTAAAAGCCTTAATTTCTCTTTAAATTCTCTATGGATAAATTCTAAAAAGTGCCTCAGTTTGGATTATAAACTTAGAATGAAGAACAAGTGAGCAAAAATTGTCAGATTCAGAAATCAGCCCTAACCTACAAAAACACTGCACAGTAGTAACTGTGCTGGGGAGAGGTATGCCAATCATGCTGTTGGTAACTTTGCTGTGATACGAGGGGAGATGAGCAAGGAACGTGGCTAGACTGAACAATGGCTGGGTGGTGTCTACAATTGAGCAGTTCAAGGGGCAGCTATAGTGGAGTGGAAACAAGTGGAATCTGAAAGCTCAGGTTTGATTCCCAACTTGCTTGTTTACTAGCTGTATAACTTTCAAGAGGCCATTGGTTTCTCTGAACATCAGCTTCCTGGTCTGTAAAATTGGATTTTAATACCCATCCATCCTATCTCTCGCTACCTTTGCATACTACCAGATGTAATAATATGTGGCAGCCCTAGGTAAACCCTTGTGGTCCATACAGAGATAAGGTATGATCAGATGGTCTCTCTTATGGAGCTATTTAATAAAACTCTATAATTAAATCATTCAAATCTTGTTCTATATAAAACCAAGCAGCGAAGGCGGGGGTGTCTCCATGAATGAAAATTTCCCAGAATATCACAGTCTTTTCTAAAAGTAGTAGTGCATTGGATCAGATATTACACTGTGAATGATGGCTCATTCACACTATTTTACAAGGATTTCTTGTAAAAAGAGAGTCATGTGATTTACCAGAAGTGTTCCAGGCTACGTAACGTTGAAGACAAGTCCTGAATTGAATTATAGCAGTGGGAGCCCACAGACTAGCATTAAGATTATAGACCCTTACGGTTTTGCTCACTTTACAAGACAACTGATCAATTTTCAACAAAATGTGTCTGCTTCCACTTTCCCCAAATAATATTCATTCCAGAAGTTCATTTCTTGGGAAGAGGGAAAGAAGAGGTGATCAAGCTTAGCAGATGGTCCTGAACCCAAATCTATTCTATATGACCAATGCAAGTCCCAAATTATATTTTTCGAGCTGCAAATGTTTGCATTTAGAACAGAGGGATCATACCTCCTTTATGGAGGAGAAATCAGAAAGGTTAAAAGAGTAGGCAAAGTTAACGAGATCATGGTTAATTGTGAATTTTCACAGTTCCAGTGAAAATAATACTAGTCTTTCATGAATTATTTTCTTGTACAAAGCAGTATGGTATTTAGTTATACTTTCCTACACCTACCCCATTCCCATGCCACCCATTTCAGAAAGTAAATCCGTAGTTTTTCTCCTGTAATATCTACCCTGCAAGGTGTTGTGATAGTTAGCACAAGTGGGAACCTGTGTGAAGGTGTGGCAAGAGCAGCTGAATAGGTGTGAACCCTGCTGTTGTGAAAAGTAAAAGGACTCGTGCTTAAAGGGCCCAGATCCATTTTCACAGAGCAGGCAAAGAGCATGGATACATTTGGAACTGAGAGGCAATAAATCAAAAATAGCCACATTTGCTGCTAAATTCCCTTATCCTGGCACATATTAGGTGTTCAATAAATATTTGATGGAGGAATAAATTATTTACAGCATATAACCTAAGGGGAAACAATATGTTTGCTTTGCATGTCACTTTAAGATTGAAAGCCCCAAGCTTAGTTTCCAACCTGAATGTTGCTTTGGAGTCCCCCCTACACCCTGGCCCCCACCAAGGCCCAACAGTGAGGTAGGGATAAGGCAAGCCCTCAAGTGACGGTCACAGCTTTGCTCAACAGTTTGGGAGAACTGCAATGAGAGAAGAGAAGACACTTTCTGTGTTGGGACCCCGGGCTGGGCTATGGGTTGCTTCACTTGGCATCCTTCCGAGACATCCCTGTGAATTATGTAGATCTGCCACATGGTCAAAATGTGAAACATATCCAAGTGCTGTATTTTAAAATTGTACTCAATAAAAAATAAACAACCTTATTTCTCCAACCACTCTTCTGTTGACACAAACTGTCAAGAGAGATTAGGAAGCAAGGTCCCTAGTACAAGTATTTGATACTTCCTAACAGAGCATAGTTTCCCCTTTGTCCACTGACCCTTTCAATAGCTCTTCAGGTTCTATTATCAGGATTCTCATTCCCTGTCCTGGGAAATAACTGCATAGCATTTCCATAAATATGGCCCAAATGATGCTGAAGCTTTCTGTATTGACACAGCATGGCTTTCACTCATTAATGCCGTCAACAAATATTTACTGAGCACCAAGTATGTGTCAGACATCATTCTAGGCATTTGGAGTGAGGCTGTGAACATAACCAGGTCCCTGTTCTCATGGAACTTGCTAACATTCTGGCAAGAACGGGTAACATAGAACCTCCTACAGAGGTGGGTAATTTAACAAACTATTGAAAAGCTCCAGTGGGAGCAAATAGCCAACCCTAGAATAGTTGCTGGCGTTCTTAGAAGATTCACTGTCCTAGTGTAGAAACTGTATCACCCAGGACTTCTAATTTTTGGTTTCTGGGAATGTTTCAAAACAGTGCAGTCCAATGCAAATATGTGAGCGACATAAGGTAACTTAAAATTTTCTAGCATCTGGGTTAAAAAGGTAAAAAGAAAGAGACAAAATTAATTTTAGTAATATATTTTGTCTAACGAATTATATTCAAAATATTGGAATTTCAACGTAATATTATTATTAATTATTGAGCTATTTCACTTTTCTTTTTTTGTACTCTTCAAAGTCGGTGTGTATGTGTACTTACAGAGCATCTCATTTTGGACTGGCCACATTTCAGGTGCCAAAAAGCCATGTGTGTCTAGGTATTGGTCAGAGGAAGTTCAGAAAGCTGCCCGTGGAGTCTTTCATTCTCTTATTTTGGGGATGGATGGGAAGATATATGCTGAATTGAAACATTCTGTGAACTCCAGTTCCAGGATTTTAGTAAACAAATTAGAGGAAGGTGAAAACCATCATAGCCGTCCTTAGAACCAGCCCTTCAAAGTGCCCATAGAATGTGCTAGGCTGTACAGTAAGTCATTGTTCGATTCTTCCACTGCGGCAAGGGATATCATTAAGAAGGGTTTTTCACAAATGCTGAGATATCTCGGCCAACGTCTCAAGTTAGAGTAGGCAAAAGACACTCAAAAATACACATCCAAAACTCAGACCATTAGGTTAGCCAACCCCCGACTTTATCTGAATTCCTCCTGACCGCTCCTCCGGCCCCCCCCCC